CGCCTGAGGCGCAGCATTCGGCGGCTGAGGCGCCGAATCGGGCGCCTGAGGTGCCGAATCGGGCACCTTGCTGCCGCTGGCTGCTGCGGCCTGCTACGGGCTGCTGGATGCTGAACCACCAGGTCCCACATTCGGCGGCTGAGGTGCACAATCAGGCGCCTGAGGCGCAGCATTCGGCGGCTGAGGTGCCGAATCGGGCGCCTGAGGCGCCGAATTGTGCACCTTGCTGCCGCTGGCTGGCGCTGGCTGCCGCGGGCTGCTGGATGCTGAACCACCAGGTCCCACATTCGGCGGCTGAGGTGCAGAATCAGGCACCTGAGGCGCAGCATTCGGCGGCGGAGGTGCCGAATGGGGCGCCTGAGGCGCCGAATTGTGCACCTTGCTGCCGCTGGCTGCCGCTGGCTGCTGGATGCTGAACCACCAGGTCCCACATTCGGCGGCTGAGGTGCCGAATGGGGCGCCTGAGGCGCCGAATTGTGCACCTTGCTGCCGCTGGCTGCCGCGGGCTGCTGGATGCTGAACCACCAGGTCCCACATTCGGCGGCTGAGGTGCAGAATCAGGCGCTGAGGCGCAGCATTCGGCGGCTGAGGTGCCGAATGGGGCGCCTGAGGTGCCGAATCGGGCACCTAGCTGCCGCTGGCTTCCGCGGGCTGCTGGACGCTGAACCACCAGGTCCCACATTCGGCGGCTGGGGTGCAGAATCAGGCACCTGAGGCGCAGCATTCGGCGGCTGAGGTGCCGAATTGGGCGCCTGAGGCGCAGCATTCGGCGGCTGAGGTGCCGAATGGGGCGCCTGAGGTGCCGAATCGGGCACCTTGCTGCCGCTGGCTGCCGCTGGCTGCCGCGGGCTGCTGGATGCTGAACCACCAGGTCCCACATTCGGCGGCTGAGGTGCAGAATCAGGCGCCTGAGGCGCAGCATTCGGCGGCTGAGGTGCCGAATCGGGCACCTTGCTGCCGCTGGCTGGCGCTGGCTGCCGCGGGCTGCTGGATGCTGAACCACCAGGTCCCACATTCGGCGGCTGAGGTGCAGAATCAGGCGACTGAGGCGCAGCATTCGGCGCCTGAGGTGCCGAATGGGGCGCCTGAG